GTTCTCACGGCTGTGCAAGATGCCAAGGTCTGCTCTGTGCATTGAGTCTGACTGTCATTTATTGGCCCTTCCACGTATATTTTTATAATTTTTATAACTTGATTTAAAAATATTCTAGTAGAAATGGAGTACTATACCAAATGTCAATGCAAACACTCTATAGACCAATTTATATGGAAAGAAATACGGCATAAAACATGTATAAAAAGCAAAAGGAAGCAAGAACAAGCAGATAATATGTTATCTAATATAATAACACATTCATTAGATAATTATGAATTAAATTCCCAAGATAGCTTTGAAATCTTTTCTGAAGAAAGCTTTGCACAAGATATGGTTACGGATAAAATACCTGAGCCGGATGCTGCAAAAGATGACTATCTTGATTTGGGTGATTTAATTGAACATGAAATCCAGGAGTTGACTATCGGTGCACAAATTGATGGAGTAGATGACGGGGTAGCTGATATTACTTATCAGACTCATCTGGTAGTAAGCATGGATAATGCTATGACTCAAGACAAAACGGCAAAAAAAATTGCCAATTTAATAATTGCTGAAATTGAAAGCGGAGACAATTATTTATAGAATTAAGTAGCATCATATTAAAAATATATATAGGGGTACTACGGGTTACTGAATAATTTACTTGTACAGCACAAGTAAATCATTCAATAACCCATAGTGCCTCCATATTTCAGTATAATATTGCTAACTAGATATTATAGTTTTCATAGTGCAGAGATGTCAAGAAAATTTGGAGATACAGTTGGGCGGTTTTATTACTTTTGCTATCAGTCAAAAGAGGTACAAAGTAATAATTATAAAGATTCAAACATGAAGCAGCAAGCACGCTATGATTGTAGAGGAAAAATTATTATTCAAGTTGATATAGTTCTTAATGCTGTAGAAGTAGATATCTATCATAGTACTCTTCACCCACGCTCTGAATTTTGCACTGAAATGCCCAATGAATTAAAGAAAGAGATTAAAGCATACTCACATCTCACCGCAATAGAATTAAAAAATCATCTACGATGTCAAGGCTTTGATATCTCAAAATATTCACCCAAACATATCTACTATTGGAAATCTATAGAGAATCAAAAATTATTTCAATGTTATGATGATCATATAGAATCTGCAAATAAACTGCTAAATGAGTATGAAAGCCAGGGCTTCCATCAATGCTTAGAGATAAAAGATTTAGATACTATAGCTATTGGTTTTACCACACCTCTTCTAAAAGAAATTAAAAATCAAAATATCATAATTAGTGAAATATATATTGATACAACTTACAAGACAGCGCGAGGGCACTATAAACTCTATGGTGTTATAGTAGATGTAGAAGGGTCAGGCTTCCCAATTGCATACTTAATTCTTGACACCACAAAGGCAACAGATGCAAGCACTAGTACGAAAAACCGTCGTAAGGTTTTGGAACACTTCTTAGAAACAATAAAGAGACAAGATATAAGTCCAAATTTTGTGTTTACTGATAAG